TCCCCCCCCCCCCCCCGGGGGGGGTAGGACTCACACACACACACACACACACACACACACACACACACACACACACACACAAAATTATCTCAGACACATACTCTGTCGACTAGAGTGTAGACAAAAGAAAAATACTTTCCATTTTTTTGGTCATTGTTTGAGCAGCTGGGGTATGTGACCGAAAGTGTTTGCCTTTTTCAGTTCTCCGTGTTCTGGCAGCGAGGTGATGGGCCTGCAGGTGGACTACTGGACGTGGCAAGGCCCCGAGAAGAAAAAAGAGGGCGAGAAGCGGGACGTGGGACTGAAAAACACGCTGAAGAGTAACTTCCGCTCGCTACAAGTCAGCCGCCTGCCCTGTGCGGGGGATATCACCCCTCCACCCAGTATGGCCATGACTGTCGTCACCAAGGAGAAGAACAAGAAAGGTATGCCGAGTAGAGTTGGGGGATTAAACAGGAAACACGAGTCATGAAACTGAACATGTGAGGATTTCACAGATGGGAATATTACATGAAGTAATAGGGTTACTGGAAAAGGAAAAAAAGTCCAATTATGAGGGAAAATAATCAGAATATCATGGGAATAAATTGCAGTGTCAAATGCAAACACCATAGTCTGAGACCAACAGACCATTCTTGTCGGTTTTTTTTGTCTTTTGTGCGGCCCTTCCACAATTCCTCCTCAATGCAAGAGGGAAAATAAAGACACTGAACGTCTTGCTTGCTTAATTATTGCTTAAGAGAAAAGGAAGCCCAGCACACAACTCTATTTGATATGCTCTGCTCCTCTATCTAGTCATTTTTCTCAGCAAGAAGCCGAAAGAGAAAGAGCTGGACTCAAAGAGCCAAGTGATCGACGGAATCAGCAGGTTGATCTGCACAGCCAAGCACCAACACACGATGCTGAGAGGTAACACTGCCCCCTGCTGTGGATGCTAGTTTCTTACATTCAGTACATGCGAAGGTCCTCGCTTTGCGAAGGTACAGATGTACAAGGTTAAGAATATGTAAAATAGTGTATTTTAAGGATAAAATAGCATTCTCATGTTTAACCATATTTTTTATAATTAATTAATTAATTATAATTAACGATAAAACGAACTAAAATGTATATCAATATTGCTTCTTTTTTCACCCCCAACTAAGAAGAGAAGAAATGCTGACTATAATTTGCCCACCCCTTATTGCTGTTTATTTGGCATATTTCATTGGTTGATGAATGAATGCATGAATGAATGAAAGAGTAATATCACACGAGAGTGATTGAAGACTTAGAAAACCTAAATTTAAACAATATCTCTAAATGATTACTTGATTAAATAGTTATCAATTTATTTGATAATCAATGAGTTGTCAATTAATTGCTTATTTTTTATCCAGACTGGGGGAAAAATGTATAACATGCAGCAAACATATTTTAAGAGACCCTATCATTGTAATGTGTGTGCACATGTTGGCCACTCAATAGTAAGACCTCAGGATTTCATTATTCTGCTCCGATGATGATTGAGTGATTCTGGTCAGGATAACAGTGAGTGATATTGAAATGTGAGTTATGCCCCAGTAACCTCCTCCAGTTGTCTGCTTGTTCATTTCAGCGGCCTCCTTTGAGTCTTATTTTATTTCCGTGGATGAATTTTACTCTTTCATCTCTCACAGTCACCATCGATGGAGTGGAGTGGAACGACGTCAAGTTTTTCCAACTTGCAGCCCAGTGGCCAACTCATGTCAAGCACTTCCCAGTGGGAATCTTCGGTTACACCAAACCCGTGTGACCTCAGCAGCCGTCCTCTTGGAACCGGCTAGACTCTTCTGCGCTGCACTTGTCTCACCCAGAGACTCCACAGAATTTGAGGGAAAGCCGACGGCAGTAATAGTTTTCCTGTGGAAATCTTACTGACTTCACATCCATGTGTTCATGTTCAATACACACCTTCACGTTGTCCTTCCCGTGTTGTGGATGTTGGCTGTTGTTTGTTGGTTTCCTTTCTTTCTTTTTTCCTTTCTTTCTTTTTTTTTAACACACTACAAAAAGAACAAGTACTATTTTGTAAGAGTTGTGCTACCGCCTTGGAGGTCCTTTGACTCGTTTGACAATTTGCCACATTTCGACAATGGCAGCTATGTTTGCACTTTGGTTTTTGTTAACATGTTATTATTTCTGTGAAATCCTACATGTATTGTTACTCTGTAGAAAATGGAGAAGTGCGATGGTGATGTGCAGTGGCGTGTGTGAGATTTTTGAGGCCGTGGTAGTCATTGGAATATTGCTGTGAATCTTGACCGAAACATTCTTTGCTTTTCTTGTTCGTCCTTTTGCTTTTTTTCAAATTCTCACTGCAAAAAACTGACAGGACTTCGCTTCAGTGTATTTTAAAGCAACAAATACTCATTTTGGTATTCTGAAGGTAGCTATAATTGACTAATGCACATTTTTATATCACCCAAAAGTTCATCAAGTAATCCCAGTCCTGAAGACTTGACACAATCACTTAGAAACAGGGTATCGTGAGACAAAAACAAACACATCCCCAATAGTTGAATGCCAAATTTGCTTTTTCTAAGCCCTGATATGTTTGGTAGTGTAATTTACCCGAGTGATGTTTTTTCTGCCTTTTTGAGTGAACAGCATTTGCACTGATCATGATGCTTTGGTGTCTCATAGACCCCAACTAATTTAGCAGCCAGTGGCTAATCCACATGTGCATTGATGTGCCAAAACTATATATATATTTTCCTTCTGTCCCCAATGCTTTTGGCCTGCTTGAAGTGAAACGCCTACGTGACGCATATGTGGTAGAAATCAGTATTGGCATTACTGAATCGTTGGAAGTAATCGAATTTTATCCGTCAGTCAATAGATATGTACATCCCAACCACATTTTATACAGCATCACTGTGGCTGTCGGTGCACAAATGTAAACATTCTCGTCGGTTGGTTGCTCACTCTTATGTTGGCTGGTTGAGGAATGTTTCCTTAACTCTTGGTGTGATTGGAAACCTGCTTTGATATTACCGCCGAGTCTAATGCAATTACAATGAAACGTCGATGGAGTCTTGTCAGATGTCCAAATCACTGCCTGTGTGTTTGTGTGTGCGTGGGTGTGAATAGGCGTGCCGTACGTTTGATGGTACTCCCTGACGATTGTTACGTGAACCTTCACAACAGGAACCCTACGGCCAAAACGGCTTTCTGTGTTGATGGTTTTTCTAGAGCTTTTTAAAAGTATTGTAAATAAATACAATGCATATACAAAATGTATCATTGTGATTTGCAAATCGCCCATTCCAACTAAATTGAAAGCACAAATGGCTTACCTTCCTTTCTTGACAAAAATGCCAACTTCAGTATGTTTCCACAACTTGTTCCGTTCAATACAATACTGCAACTGTCATTTCTTCAACATTTCCCTTACTTTGTAATGCACTTTTTATGTAGTTTGATACACAATGATACCCGAATTGGGACAGTTTGGTATTGAGTTGTATTCTCCCCCTCCCCACCAAAATGTAAACCACTACCTATAGACGTGATAAGACTGTTTCCTTGTTGTGTCGGGTGTATGTTTGATGGCTTCAAACTCCTTTTGGTGTCCTGAACGCATCATGGCCATCTGTTACTTACCCTTCTGCAACTTTTTTTTAATTTCATTTTATAGCTGCCACCATGCCGTCTGCGCGCAGACTAGTCAGTCTGATTTGGTTGTCTCCTGGGTTTTAAGAGGGGTCACCATCTTGTCTTGGCTGGGACACCAACTGGCCCTTAGATAATACAGTATATCATGGAACTTTGGCTGTGAAGCAGGGCTGAGTTTTGTGAGCAAAACTATCAATTGATTGAAAACAGTCAATGGGCTTAAGTGTCAAGTGTGTTCTGATGTATTAGACCTAAGTCCAGCTTTGCCCTAAATATTGCCGTAGCATGGGGGTGTTTTACAAGGCAGGGCCAATGAGAGGCTGTGCTCTTTTGTCACTTCTCGTAAATAATCAGTGATCCAACAGGAAAGAAGACAGCGTGCCATCTCATTGGTCCCGTCACTTCAGATGCCACCCTGTGTCTTTGCACAAACCCTATTTTAAACGACGTGACAGTATTTTTAAATTTACCACTAAAAAAAAAAAAATATGGGTTACTCTGCATGTTTTACTATAGTTGTATATATGTTTTGGATTTTTATATTTTTTTTTCTTTCAATGCTCTCACAAGCAGTTGTGTTTAATAAAATTTTTAATCTTCTGTACAAAGTATTCCTTTCTTCCAAGCATGTGTTCATATTGAGCGAGATGCGATGGAGGGCAGGTTGACATAACTCTTCATAGGCGGCAGCGGTTTAATCTTGCGTCCGGCCCAGCCTCCCTTCCTCTGCCAGAGGCCACTCGATGGGCGGATGCCAAGCCAGCGGTTGCGGCCTGCTTTACCGATGATCCTTTTGTTGTGGTCCACATTGGATACGCGGCCCACCGTGACCATGCAGGTCTCCAGTACCTGTGCGGATGTGTTTGTCACAATGACATTGCTACTTCTTAGCAGATTTGTTTTGGTGTCATTTTGCACCATGTAAGCTCACCTGAACCTGCTGCTTTGACGGAAGTTGAACAATGGCTGTTCCATTGACTTTACGGAGTAGAAGACCACTTGTCCCTGATAAAGAATTAGATGTATGAAAACATCTCTCTATTTGGGAGGCTACTTAAAAGATATGAAACAACTTTGTTTTCATTGAATTGACAGTGAGGGAAACCCAAGTTTATTTTCCTTGCAAATATTTACCTGCAGCGCGGATATACTCTGATCCTTTCCCTGGCTGTATCTCCAGATTATTAACTAGTGTGCCCACAGGAAGTGCTCCCAGTGGGTAGGCGTCACCCTCATTTGCTGAAACTATAAAACATCAGCCCTTACTTAAAAACAGAACTTTTATCAATTAAACGGCGTAGTGTCAGAGTGCCTAATTAGTCCCATACCTGCCATGCGTCCGATTACGGGTGATGTTTTAATGATGTTTCCTGCCTGCATGTTCTCTGTAGCGATGATCCATCTTTTACGGTTGCCCCCAGCCACAAGGGCGATGTCAGCTGACCTGGAAAGACCACAGCAGACGAGATTAAGACAGCCATCAACATTTATTTGACATGCTGAAAAGCGATAATAGCTCACCTGCATGGGTCATATCGCACTTGAATAACCTTCTCGTCGAAGGGCTCCCCTTCTCCATGTTTATCATAGCGCAGGCGTTGGAAATCAATCCAGCGATACTTTTGTTTGTGGCCTCCGCCGATGCCATGTGTTCGGATTTTACCTAAAGAGCACCAATACAGGTATGATTTCAATTATTGTAAACCCTGGACAAGGCAGACAGAGGCAAACAACCATTCATGCTCCCATTGATACTTATAGCCAATTCCAATTTTTTAATTAACCCGAGATGCAGGTTTTGGGAATGTGGGAGGACACAGAAATCCAAGGCAAAAACATAGGCAACTCAAAGCGCAGTTGATGCATATTTTGCTTTTATCCAAGGAGCAAGCAAACTATTCTGTCATAACTACATGTTCAAACACTTTAGTACTTTTAAAACTTTAAAATACAAATGCAAGCCTTCGCAAGAATTAGAAGCATTCCTTCATTTTCCAGTCAGTTTTATTGTAGTGCTTCTAAAAACATGTAGGTAGTGCTGTTTGTCGAATGCTGACCAAGATGTGGTGACCTGCTGAGCTGGTGGTGGTTGTGCTAACGAGTGTCCCCTTAAATGTGTGCTGGACATGTTGGATATTGACAGGTCTTTTTGTGTTTGCATTGTAAACACCAGAACTTATACTGAATTGTGGCAACCTAACAAGAAGCACGATTAGGTTAAGGTACGACCAATCCCCAATCCACACACACACACACACACACACACACACACACACACACACACACACACACACTTTTTTAACCTGTGTGATCTCTTCCTCCTGTCTTTTTCATCCCTATCGGTCGAATTGTGTACTTCTCCCTTTCCTTCCACCTCGTACTGTTCTGCTCAAGAGAGGCTGTGGTGAGGAAGCCCCGGCATGGCGCAGCACTGGATGCAGGCGATAACCATGGCAGACATGCCCCGATACCCAATTTGACCTGTCAACACAGGAGGGGGGAACCAAAAAAAAGTACACATTAACTCCCTGTAATGTTGTCATTAATGTATTGTGATATAAGATGTTGACCTGAGAGCGCAGCAAGGCAGGCTGAGAGATGGTGAGGTAACTCAGGGCTCGAGTCAAACAAGACACCGCCATCACTCCGACAAGAACTGGATATGATTTAAAAAGGTGCACTGTTAGATGTTTTTCCCCCTCTGCAGTCCCTGGGTTCATTCAGTAAGCTGTATTTGAACATTTTTTTGCTGGAAGTTAACTCCAACACTGTAGTTTCACCTACATTTGAGGGAAATACACATGACAAAATTTTGCCACGGTTAACCTTCGTGTTTAATTTTCCATTGTGTGTGGCTACTTATCGAGGTTAATGATATGAAGACATTTAAATAGGGTGATATTGCATTTAATATGTATATACAAAGTTTATATTTATTGTTAAAACAACATCGCTAATCAACGGTAAACATACCTCTATCCGTTTCAGTTCATGAGTTTTCTTCCCGGCGTCCTTCGTGAGCGAGCGTGTCGCATGATGATGACGTATTCCGAACACCTCAACAGTTGTTTGTTGATCTGATTGTATATCCGTATTAGCGTATTTTACCTATCCACCATACCTGTATATTAATAGGGACTCATCCATAACCCGCACTACTGCAAGTACTAGTTTCATCGAAGTCCAGTAGCAACATTTTTACACTCTTTCGACAATGCATGTTATTGGGAGTATTTTTTTATCGTTACGTAATTCACTCGACAAAATGACACGTTTAAATTCAGAATGCTAATACAGTATAAAATTCTAGTACAGTGAACACAAAACAATGAACAGCTGTGACCACCAGGTAGCAGTATTGCGCAGAGTTCACGTTTTTTTCCATGGTACATAAATATGGTATAAAGCGTCAATTAATCTGTCTTCTGAGACGTGTTTGAGTTTTTAAAATTACCAAAACTTGAATCATATTAATAAATTCTAGTACAGTGAACACAAAACAATGAACAACTGTGACCACCAGGTGGCACATTTGCTCACGGGGTTTACGTTTTTTTTTTTTTTTTAATAGTGCATACAATATAAAATGTCAATTAATCTGTGTCATCTGAGACACATTTTAGTTTTTGAAAATTACCAAGACTTTATTCATATTGATGAAAACAGTATATAGTTAAACACACCCTATTCCTCGAAGACGAGAACAAAAACAAAACAATACGTCACTGAGATTCGCTCCGCCGCAAAGGCTGATGGGAGAGCTGTGCGGTTTTGGAGACATTTTGGTTTTGAAGGGGCTGGACTAGCCGAAGGTTCTGGCAGTCGGTAAGGGAGTACTGCGTTTTATCTCTGTCGAAATTAGTGAAAGCAGCTGTTTAACTTTGTATCCGTATGGTTTCCATTTTCACAACTGTACTCGTATGAAACCGCCTTGGAAATGTAAACGCACCGAGTCCGCAACAAACAGGGAGTGGTGATGCTAACAGGCTCGGCGAACTAAACAGCCACTGACGACAGAGCCGCGGAACCCCAATTTAAAGCTTTACTGTTAACATTGGTGAAAACATCTCCGTGAATGTGTACCAATACGTACTCGGGAACGTTGTCCTTCAAAATTATAAATTACGTCATGGTGGAGGACAACGTGACATGTACATAATGAGCAAAATCATTATAATTTTTTTCTGCCTAATGTAGCGTCCAGTGGAATGCAATAGCTGTAACAGAATTTCAGGTAAAGGGTCGAATAATTGAACCATTACATGTGCCGTTATGTTCTCCGAAGTTCAGAAAATCCTAGCTTCTTTGCCTTGAAAATATGTCTCATTGTCATTTGTTCAAATGACATGATCAAATATTTTTGCATTTGAGTGGGACAATTATACTAGCTCTTGCCATCAAGCAATATTATTGTAGATGGTACTATTTGTTTACAGACCCAAGGAGAAATGTATGAGTAAAACTCACATCAGGGTTTTATCAGTGACTATCTATCTATCTATCTATCTATCTATCTATCTATCTATCTATCTATCTATCTGTGTGTGTCAGTGGCACGTCCCTCGTTTTCTCTCATGTCTGCTTGCCACACCCTCCTCCACCATGTGTCCACTGGTCATGCAGATGTGGATGCTTGCCAGAAACGGGTGAATGATGGCATCCGGTGAGGCAGAACAACGTAATAGGATCTGGAGATGTGATGCTGACACAAACGCATTGTTAACTGATGGATCTAAGGCATTGTGATTTCGGTTTCCATCACAAGTCGCACTCGCCTGGTGCACTGGCCTCGAAAAGGACAAATGCATCACACCCCTCATACAGACAAATCCACAGTGTATGGTTTCCAAAGGAAAAAACTTGTCAATACAACAAGGTTTGCTTTAAGAATTTGTAGGAAGTGTGTCGGCTCAAGCGTGGTTAGTCTTTATCCTGACTAGGAGTATCATGTGGTTCAACATCAGATAGTTGAATTGTTTGCTTCCTTTGTTTACTGCATCTCATGAGTGTGATATCGGTTTGGACTTGAGGTGCTAAGATTCTGGCAATATGTTGTGGCCTTTGATCATTGATTAACTTGAGTGAGTTATCTTGTGTCTAAAAACACACCCCTGACCCACATTATAAAATGTAACTTTATTCGGGGCTTGACTGGTCAGCTGTTTTTAGTGTTACTTTCATGAACAAACTGGATTGTCATGAACGACATGGTTCTACTACCTATTGGTGCTTTTCCTGAGGTTGCTAATATCAGGTCAAGACTGCTGTCGAACAAATACCTTATAGATAATGTAGAGCAATTACTTTAGCTTGGAATGTCACAGTATTATTCAACGCAGTATCCACTTTGCTGCAGCATCGACATTGTTTTCTCTTGAATCAAAAGTTGTCTCCCAAGTTGAGTAGTAAATATCAGCGATATTTCTCTACAGTTCAGTTTAATTTTTTACTTTGTCTTGTTCCAACTAAGTAGTTTCTGAAGCTGGTGTTCTTTGGCTTCTGATTGGCCACAGTAAAATGTCTTTTCATGCGGACTTAGATTTTCTTTCTTTTTTTTTTTTTTAAATCACGTTGTGTATGGCCTTTTTCTTTTCTTTTATTTCTTTTCTTTTATTTTTTTTAACCCCCACAACTCGAAAATTGTTTAAAAAATATTCCTATATGTTTGGACAGTAGACATGAAATTTATACATTTTATAATTTTTGTTTAATTTTGAATTTATTAATTTATAATTTATAGTAACTTCACTGCTTACGAATTGTAGTCCACATGGTTACATAATGGTTTTATCAAACATGAATGGTGAAGTGATAAGGCCACCGATTTGTCTGCATTGTAGCTGTAATCTGATTTATGACTTCCTGACTTATGTTTACGCCACAAATGCTTAAAAGACTAATTGAAGTCCATAAATAAACGGTCTCATTTTAATTCATGGTTCATTTGTCTTTATTGCAGCATAAGACGAAGCTATACAAGCAAAACATTCTATGTAATGAATCTGATACCGTTCAATTTAATACTGATTAATTTATTGCTTGTTTGTTAAAACATGCATTGGAAGAGGGTCATGAAAAAATTATTGCATGTTAAATTGCAATAATTTGGAGGTGGAATCATAATTTGATAATTTTTCCTCCAAATAATCCTCGACCTTGTAGGCAGGGTGGCCGTCCTTTCGGGTCTTCAAACTGTTCATGGAGCCTCTCCCGTTGTCTCATCATTACTAGTATTCCCTTATGTCTGTGTACAGAGGAGCGCATCCCCATGGCTCCCTCCCTCCATTCCATCCTGCTCCTCTGCACTGTTCTGCTTCTCGCATTAGGCGGGGATATCTTTGTATGTATGCCCTTAGTTGATGCCGGTGGTTGCGATGACGCAGCAGGAAGGTCACTGTCATCCTATAGGCACCAGCATCCCCTTTCTCCCTATACCGGCTCTCTCTCTTTCCTTCTAACTCTCTCCCACCCACCATGTCGCCTACATTTGTATGAACCCGTTTCACAGGCACGGCATCCTTTGTTGTTTGTCAAAAGATGAGCGCTGTGTGTTCCATGCATGCCGCACTTTATTTCATGAATTATTTTCCATGTCAGACACATAAGGTTCTGATCTTCAACATAAACAGGTTAGTGTCCTAGCTGCAAGCTGCAGCACGAAAGTCATCAGCGGCTCAACGACGGGTTCCTTTATGAACGCAGTTATTTTGGAGTCTTGTTTTTAACTCGTTTCAGAGAACCCGACAAGAACCAAGATTGTTTTTTTCTGTAGTTCTGTTCCTCTCTGTCAGTGTTTTTAAATGTAAACACATTTCAGATTCTAACTTCATTGCAAAGCCATCTGCTGGTGCAATGAGCTCAAACATCTGTTAATGTGCCGCATATGGTCATGTGTTGTATATTACGTTGTGTGAAGCTATAAAATGTGAAACTGCCTGAATCCTGATACTTGGCAGTGAGTGGCGATTGGAAAATATGTTTTAGCACCGTAATACATTTCACTCAAGAAGAAGCAACTTCTATCCACTGTAAACTGGCAACTTAGTAAACGTTAAATAGAAACATGAACTTTTTGCCATTCTGCCATGTCATCATGTCAGGTTGTAACAACATTGTAACAACATGAGTATGCTTTATTTGTTTCCATGTATATGTTGGACTTTATCCTCTGCAATAGGATTTCCCAATGTTGCAATCCTCACATTGACCCAAACGTAATAAAACATTTAGTTGCTCGTCTTGTGTACCGTCACCATGGTTATTGTTTAACTGTCAAGTTTTCATTTGACTTTTGAGGCATGTATTGCCAGGAAATATTGGTTGAGCCCCAAATTGTCTCACGTTCAACTTTGCAGGTTCCCCTGCCATTGTGGTATCACTAAACCAAACAAACTAATCTACCTCGGAAATTATTCAAGGAAAAAGGTGATCTTTCCAGTCACACAGAAGGCATAATGAATTCTTCAGGAGATTAGCATAAGCAGGTCCATGAACCTGAAAATAAAGAGAAAAAAAAATTTGGTGCCAATGTCTAGTAGCATCAAATAAACGTCTGCTGACATACAGTAGTTCAGCCGTGATTACTTGATGTGATTATGCCCAACATCAAGGTAAAGCCATAATCAGGTTGAACTAACGTACCCAGTTTGAGCGGTTATACTGGGTTTGTCAGTATCACGCTGTATTTCAAGGCCATGAGGTTTGTGTCGTGAAGTGGTGCAGCAATTTGAGGTGTTAGAGTAACATTGTCACCCAGCTGCACGTTGTACAAGAAGGCAAAATAATACATTTTAGTTTTCTTCAACAGCCCTTTTGTCACTTGCCAAGTACCGGTTCATTGGATAAGCCCCACCACCACCACCACACTGTCCCCTACCCCGTCTTCTCATTGTATTGATGGCTATGCTTTTTTTCAAATCAACAAAATGGAGAGCGATCAGAACCTGAAGTGGCCCACTAATGTCGGGTTAGGGTGTCATTCCCAAAGCAGCTGGCTGCCTTTCATCTCTCATTTTTATCTTCATTGATGCTAAAGGACCGTGTGCACATGTGCTCCCAGCTGCTTAGATCTCAGCTGGAAGGGCGGAGCTCATTTTTGCATTTAGCCTACAATTGATGTGGCTCAATGAGTCATCAGACTGAAAAAATAGCTTGTTCCATTGGCTCACCAAATGACTCAGTTCTTTAAAACACCCTCGAACGCCGTCATCTCAGCCAGGGCGAGACTTGGCTGAGCGCAAAAGGACATCAATATTGTGATTATCTTTAAAAAAAAAAAAAAAACACCTTGACGGAGTTATGATAGTTATTTTACTCAGCTAGTTATCAACCTGTTTGAGCAATTTCATATATATATATTTTTAATATCCAGTGCAGTCAGTGTTACTGGTGTAATGAGTTAACGCTCAGTGATTTTTCCAAAACAAAATGTGAATGATCCATCACATTTGACATCTCTGTAATATGCTGAGCTCCATGGTGGTGTGCTTCGACGTTGCCATCGCCATGGCTGGCCAGCAAGCACCATGGGTGGGCTACCCAAGAAGAAATGCTGACTTCTCTTCCCACTCTAGTGTTATTTTGAACTCCATGGTAGTATACTACAGCTAATCGGCTGCAAAAAAAGACCAGGGTTTCACACATGTAAATTTTAGCTATGGGTGTTCAATGCACTACATGTTTGCACTGTGGTTGAGAGAGGAAAGTAATTTCATCTGTGCTGTATGTTACACATAGAGCATATTTGACAATAAAAGCTGACTTGACTTAAAAAAAAAAAAAAAATCTAACTTGACACTGCTGAGGCCGTGCAGGATACTAACTTTAAAGGGTTTTTTTTGGTTGCTTCATTACAACATACTGTTTCAGCTGTGTTGTTTTGGTGACAAAGGTATTTGAGACCAAAATCAAAAATGCACTTCTATGGGCCATTTTTGTGTCTAAAATCTTTGGTGGTCAAATTTTCAACTCATCCCACATAATAATGCATCGGTTATTGTCCCCCATCTGGGCTGTCGGGGTGATTGGTTCATCGCATGAGCAAGTTGCCTGAAAATGAATATAGGTCAGGTCTTTACACTGTCAGGCAATAATAGGTCAGACTGATTCTTCTGGCTCTTTTTTACTTATCAGTTATGCAATACCATGTTCCACTTTCTGTATCATGTGCAGGTTTCCCTGAGCACTTGTCAAGATGTCCACCATGGTGTATGCCCGGGAAGAGAAGCTTGAAAAGCTCTCTCAAGAGGAGATCATATCCAACACCAAACTGGTGATCCAGGGCTTGGAAGCCCTCAAGAATGAGCACAATTCCATTCTCCACAGTCTCTTGGAGACCATCAAGTGCCTGAAAAAGGATGAAGAGGCCAACCTGGTGCATGAGAAGTCCAATCTGCTGCGCAAGTCAGTGGAGATGATTGAGCTGGGCCTTGGTGAAGCACAGGTAACACTTGATGAATAATTGTCAGTATAATAGATTGGATGTGTGTTGAACCAGCTAATAGCTCTCCTTGTGTTTTGCGCGTTTCTGCTTCTGCGAATGTCCACATTCTGTATTCAACTGAGAAGAAATATTTTATTCACACTCTGTTCTGATCATTGCACTTATCGGCTCATTAAATTCAATGCCAAACTTAATTGATGTTATTTTCATACTAGGTGATGATGGCCCTGTCCAACCACCTGAATGCGGTGGAGTCCGAGAAGCAGAAGCTGCGCGCGCAGGTGAGGAGGCTTTGCCAGGAGAACCAGTGGCTGCGGGATGAGCTAGCCAACACCCAGCAGAAGCTGCAAAAGAGCGAGCAGAGTGTCCCTCAGCTCGAGGAAGAGAAAAAACATCTGGAGTTTATGAACCAGCTTAAGAAATATGATGAGGACGTTTCCCCCTCTGTAAGTACCAAACAAGTCTCGCGGTATTAAGTTTACATCTTGCCAGGGGTGTCCTGATACAATTTTTTCACTTGTGATCCGATACCGATATTGCAGCTGAGAGAACTGTCTACCGATATTGCAGCCGAGAGTACTATCAGATACAGATATTGATCTGGTACGATATCTGAAGGAATGTTAAATGCTTTTTAAAAATGTAGTTTGAAATGTAAGAAGAGACTTGATCAACGATACCATTCAAACAAAGAATAGTGAGCAACATTAGGTATGAGAGAATATGGCCCATTTATTCCAAAAAGTCGAGTTACATAAATTCAACCTCAAACACGAGAATATAATGCACTCGAATAAAATAAAAAATAAAAAAAAATTAAAGGACCCCGAGAAACAACCAATAAAGTCAGTAAAAACAAATTCAATTTTACTTCAGTCCATTCAGATTGAGTTTTTTACATTCAGTATATGGTGGGAACGCAGTCTTGAATGGACTGCTTGTGTATATCTGAGATTTTGGATGTACGCTGATGTAATCCGATAGTTGGTTTTTTGTTGTTGTTGTAGTTCAGAAATTATGGTAAACGGATAATTGCTAGGGTACACCAAAAATCATGATTCCACACTGACCTTGGTTTTAAATTCAAGGTTCACCGAGAATTATATAACGAGAATGTATAATGAGAATTAATGTCACTATTAAAATGTTACTTTATATATTTGGATATCATTTCTTATATATCTCAGCAGGAGGAAAAGGACAGAGAAATGCCAAAGGACTCCCTGGATGATCTCTTCCCCAATGATGAAGAGGAGAATGGTAAGACTAACAGCAATTAACAGGGACGATACTATGTATTCTGTCAAATTTATTCATTCCACAATACTACTCACATCGGATTATGTTATTGTTTTTTTCACCCTTTTCCCCCCCTCATGTTTGTGTTGCATTTTTGCCCCACAGTGCAACATCAACACAACAGTGCAGCAGTGGCTGCGGCCCAACAGGGAGGCTATGAGATCCCAGCTCGTCTGAGAACACTACACAACCTGGTGATCCAGTATGCTTCTCAGGGCAGGTACGAGGTCGCTGTGCCCCTCTGCAAGCAAGCTTTGGAGGACCTGGAGAAAACCTCTGGACACGACCATCCCGATGTAGCTACTATGCTTAACATCTTGGCTTTGGTTTATAGGTGGGAAATGACATACTTCAGATAATTTCCTAACGCTATTAGAGTTGTGTCGCTTCTTGTTGTGAACTCTCTTCATCTTCATCACCCAGGGATCAAAATAAATACAAAGAGGCTGCACATCTTCTCAACGATGCTCTTTCCATCCGAGAGAAAACCCTGGGGAAAGACCATCCTGCTGTAAGAATCCCATAGTCATGGCAACCAAATCTCAATGTTGACATGCAAATGTCCTTTTTGTATTTGTTCAGAGTTGCTCAGACACATGACAAGGATGTAATTGCTGCACCTTCTCCTTTTATTTATCATCCTACTGACTCAGGATGTACAGTCGATTTTTTTTGTACTTCTACTCGAGGATAGGCTTCTGATTTTATCACTCCTTTAGCTTAATGTAAATCAAGCAAAACCAGAGAAAACATTTCTCAATGAAATGAATGACCTTGGTGCTTGCTGAATGACCTTGGTGCTTGCTGACACACAAACTCTTTTTACACAATACTGGTTTAAATCATTGGGCCTCAGAAAAGCATTTTAGTAATTTGCTAAAGGGCTGATGTTCTGAACAAAATGGCGTCTTTTATTTGTTATCGTGTCTGTATGTGTTGTGCAGGTTGCTGCAACGTTGAACAACCTGGCTGTGCTGTATGGAAAGAGGGGAAAGTATAAGGAGGCTGAACCTCTGTGCAAGAGGGCTTTGGAGATCAGAGAGAAGGTATGGTTACATTCCTGGCTTCCACAACACTGCTGTTGAGAGCTGACCTCAAAGCTAAACCAGTGACCATTTGGCACATTGTAATAACAAAGATTCCCATTTTAACTCCAGCATCTATAAAAGAGAGAATGTTTTTTTTTTTTAATTGTCTTTTTGAGACGCCACTGGAGGCATTCTGTCTGTCTGGGAAAGGAATTACAGGGTTGAATTGAGAGCAGATTTTGAAAAACGGTGGCATGAAACTGAAAAAGGGATGTGATGGGACAACGTTTTAAGTTTGGTTCAGCTGATCAAAGCGTCTCAGGGTGATGATGGGTGTCAGTAACAGAAGGATAGATGCAAAGTGAAGAAATAGGTTAGACTCACCAATTTGTGACTAAAACCTGTATGGCTTCCATCAGGTTCTGGGGAAAGACCATCCAGATGTGGCCAAACAGCTGAATAACTTGGCTCTGCTGTGTCAGAATCAAGGCAAGTATGAGGAGGTGGAATACTACTACTGTCGTGCCCTGGAGATCTACGAATGTAGGCTGGGCCCGGATGATCCCAATGTGGCCAAAACCAAGAATAACCTGGTGAGTCGATGCACCACAAAGTCTCTGAAAGGCAGTGAATGCCTAAATGGAGACATGGTCTTGTGTTTTCCTATATGAAAGAGGAGACTGTTATTGAATAGTGTGCTGTGAATGTAAACTATTGAGTATCTTGAGATATTTTCAATGTTTTGAGGACACAATTTATTGAAGTTCTGAGATTCAGGCAAATGTCAAAGCTTTACACTGATGTGTGTGTTTGTCATGAGACTCCTTAAGAGAAGCACTTCTGAGGATCTAGTTAACCACTAGATATTGCACGCAAGCCAGTAGCATCTCGTCAGCTGACTTGCTCCCTTATGTCTCCCCCTGAGATTCTGTACAAAGAAATTCTGACTCGTGCAAAATGAAATGACTTAGCATGAGTAATTTCATAGGAGAAGATCGTTCCTTCTCTCTTGGAGATGACCGTTGTTTTTGTGAGTCATTTGATGCAACTCTAAACCTCATTTTTGCCCTCTCTCTTCTCTAGGCGTCATGCTTTCTCAAACAGGGAAAGTATAAGGAGGCTGAGATTCTGTACAAAGAAATTCTGACTCGTGCCCATGAGAAAGAGTTTGGATCTGTTGATGGTAAGGACCTGTAGATGACATGAAGATATTTGACAACAAAGATGAACACTGACATTAAAATAGAAACCGACATTGGGTTTACTTTGAATTGCCCTTTAGAGATGTTTGTTTTATAGCGTTCACTATTGTTTCATCTTCTACTTACTATTTATCTCACACCAGTGAGGAGTGCTGGACAGATGGTTAAAAAGTGGACGATGTTCTAAGCAGGCTGCCTGCCTTCACCATTCAAAGGACTCAAAGACTCCTTGCAAAAGGCTTTTGGAGAAATAAAGAGTTTGTTGGTCTGAACTCTGGCAATTGCATTCTCTTTTAGTTCCAACTGAACAAGATGTTGCATCCCTCGTGAGATTAGATGTTCTTTGAATAAGAAATAAAAAAAGACGTTTGTCAGCTTTCCTTGGCAAATTCCTCTGACAGGTTCATCCTTGAAGAGTAACCTACAAGGTTTCGCTGATTTTTTTCAAACAAAACTGCAGCACTTCCGCATTATTCAGCCACAGTTTTTTTTCCCACGTAGTCAATCACATTTGGCTACATATATGCTTGCAAAATACATACATGTATTTTGCAAGCATATATCCATATTATATACTCTCATATTTTCTACACTTAAAAAAAAAAATTATTTTAAAGCAAATTTGCTTTTGCACGCAAGACGATTACAGAAACGCAGATTGATACTGCAGATTCAACCTTCATTCTTGAAGGGCAATAGGCAGCTCTCAGCTCCTTCGGTACATCATGAATAGTTGATGACGGACTTCGCAAAGCCTCAAGAGATGCTGTGTGTGTGGGGGTGTATTCCAGTCGCGTTGCGCAGTTTGTCGAACCTCTCCCATGTGTGTGTCTGCAGCTGAAAACAAGCCTATCTGGATGCACGCAGAGGAAAGGGAGGAGATGAGCAAGGTGAGAGCTGCCATATGATACTACTCGTGATATTTAGGAGTACTGTAGTACATAAAGAGCAACGGCACATTTTAAAAGCAATAGGAAAACAGAAAGGTCACTTCAGATCCTGGGAAGTGATCCAGTCTCTCATGGTGCAAACATTAGACTCAGCATAAAGCGCCTTTGGGCAAGTCATATGTTTAAAAAAAAAATCCTGTTGGTCTGGTTTACACCACTCCTCCCCTACTCAGTTGGCTTTTTCTTTTACTTCCAGGGCAAGCACAGGGACAACACGCCTTATGGAGAGTATGGAGGCTGGTATAAAGCCTGTAAAGTCAACAGGTGAGCCAGAGTTGCTATTTCAGAGACACCTTTGAATTATATAGTTAAAAAGTTCTAAGACTTAATTATTTTTATCGTTTGAGAAATGTCAGATAAAAAAAATTTTGGTGTGTATAATATACCGCTGCATTCCCAAATTGAAGACTAAAAATATCCCACCTTGACCTTCGTAGGCCCTCCCTCAACACTCTGGTTTAAAGTAAACCAAAAACACCTCTAAACAAACAAATATAAACTTAAGTGACATTCAATATACAAAAGGCCTTCACATAGAGAGGTAATCTTGAGATCAATGCTGGCATCTAGATTAATACAGTAAATCTAGTTTACAAACTGGTATTAGGTTTTTCATTCCAGATTGGCACTGCCGGTGTTTAATGTCTGATGCCTTTATCGTTGGGAAGTCATGGTATGTGGATTTGCGCTGAGCAAGAACTTCCAAGTGCTGCTCCAGTGCATTTTTCCTAGTCAGAATGAGCATCTCTCACCCCCCAGTTTTCTGGAATGCAGCATACCATTTTACTTGTGTGATTTAATCGATCACCCATACTGGAGCAATTATCAGATTCCCATCCTGGAACAAATTGGGGCTTTTTCAGTCAGGCAACACAAGCTTAAATGTGTTCATCACATGACATTATTTGAATTAGTCATGTTTTGCTGCTCAAATTGGAAAACTTTTTGTTCAATCCTTAAGCAACCATGAAGCGGTGTGCCTGTTTCTTGTGTCCACAGCCCCACCGTGAACACAACACTGAGGAACCTGGGGGCTCTGTACCGTCGTCAGGGCAAGCTTGAAGCTGCCGAGACCTTGGAGGAGTGCGCTGTGAGATCCCGCAAGCAGGTTAACCATATTTTTGAAAAATATGGAATATGCATGCGCATGAAGCACCTTATCACTGTACTGTTTTGTCAATTCCAAAATGTTATTGTGAGTCGATCTCATTCTATTTTTCCCCCCCTCTCACAACATTGCTTTGGATCCAGAGCAACACAGTAAGTGACGGCCGCCATAGACCTTTCACCTTTTTCCCTGGGCATTCCTCCCATTTCACAGCCATAGAAAATATTTCTTCCTGACTTTTAAGTCACATGAACCACGATAGGGTCTGTATCATCTTTTTTTAAGCTTTCCACCATGATTATATATTATCTGGTACACTTGCGATCTGATTTCTTATGAAATCTAAGTTATTTTGGTGGCTGTTTTCATTTCCCGGAAGTAAGGTTCCTGGCTCATTAAAACCAGTGTAATGTAAAGAACAAAATACATCTGACATACCATGCTTAACAACAATTTTATGTCATAATTTAGATAGTGGGTTAATTTACTTACAGCTTCTGCTTCTCCAGCATGTTTGATTGTGATAATGGTGCCAGTTTTAAGGTTTAATCTTCCCGCCGATCCACTTTTGTACTGGCCAAGGTTCACCACGCAGAAATTATACATATGCTCACAGGCAAATAGCCACTGGATAGTCTGCCACCGGAGAGGCTGGCGCCTCGACCGGGTAGGCTGCTCAAAGCACCTCTTTCCCGAATACACTTGTCGTGCGTCCTGCTGGCTGCTCAAGAAGGTGGGCGTATGTTTTGGTGGGGGCGGCTCCTCAATCCAAGGATGAACAAGATTGCTCAGGGGTGGTTGAATGGAGGAAAACACCTATTGGGGGTGTTCATGGTATCCAATTTGTATTTTAACAAGGCCCCAAAAAGTTGATTTTGCATGATGCAGACCCTTTAAATACTTCTATACAACTACACACTTTCAACCATTAATCCACCTTCCTAATGTTTACATTTACCTTTTGCAATTATGGTGTGTTTTCCTCCGTGTGTTCTTCCCATTAGGGCATTGACCCTATCCACCAGACACGCATGGTAGAGATCCTGAAGGACGCAGATGGCGACAGGCGAAGGAGCAGGGAGAGCTTGAGCAGCGTTAAGTACGAGAGTGGCTCTGAAGCTGGCGAGGAAGTGAGTATGGGCGTGGAGTGGAACGGGGTGAGTACAGATCCACTTAAATTGAATCTTACATGCAAGTGGTCCTCATTGGAAGTACAAGACAACTTGATCCTATTAAAGGGAGTGTTGACTGGTACATAAATCTTTTTTAACCATTTTACCACCTTTAAACATATTCTGGAATTGCCACCAATTAGTGACAATACAATGTAAAACAACCTGTTTCGATTTGGACTGGATGTACGCAGGGAACGCTGTTTGTACAAGCTCCCCTTTGCCTTGTCCTTCCGATGAGGGGTTTCCATCAAAATCTTTTGGTTGAAAGATAAAGCTGATTGAGTGTCTTGGCATGGCGACATGTCCTATTTGACAGTGTATCTGACTTATGGTTTTGTGGTGTTGTTCGTTGCTTGCCGATGTCTTGTTTTAATCGTTATTTTGTTGCCATTGTTTCTGCACGAGAGCCATCATGAAAAAGATGGCACAGGCTCATGCTTTGGCACCTTGGCAACATATTACTTTCCCTGGGATTCACATAGAAAACAAATTTAAAAAGCAATTAAATCCAGAACTCTCATGGCCATATTCCTTTTATGAACCGAGAAATATAATTTACAGGTTTTCAGTGCACAAAAGTGTGTGCATTTAATCTGCAGGTTACCTTAATCCATCTTTAAAATGTCCACTGAGGTTCACGTGTCAGTCCTTTTGCTCAACATCATTAAATGTATCATTACTCCTTTCCCGACATTCAGTGCAGCAATTTGTACAGTCAGAGAAACACAGCTAGATGCGTGTCCTAGTTAGAAGAAACCCTGTGGTGAATTTTACATGACTGTGCCATGAGATGTGCCTTGACTGAGCCTGTGCTTCTCACACACTGTGCAGCATCGCGCTTCACCGCTCCAGCCAATTTAAACATGCATGCAGCCGTGCCAGTCAATGGACTTAACCCATAAACATGCGCACTAATGGACTGTGTGCTCTCACGTGGGTGCCATATTAACATGTCTGTTTTTCTGAGTGAGTCTTTACATGAAGAGAAGGTGGCGTTTTGTGGTAACACTTGCGTGAATGTAAATGTGAATGTGAGCGTGAGTGTTTCTCCTGTGAGTGCTTCTCTACACATGTTAGAATGCTGTTGCAATGCCACAATGCTTTATAAAACATGCGATGATGTGCGGAGGGTAGCTGAGGGCCTGATCTGTCATACAACTGACAAAACAAGACCCGTTGTCTTGTTTGTATTTTGTTTCTCAGCACTCATTTGACACAGTTAGTTTGACTGTAAGCCTAACCTTCAGACAGTCCATACATGTATTCATTTCCAAAGCTTGGCACACAGGATCAGGCTAGCGCAGTATCAGACTACCGTATCTGGTAAGCAAATTCTTGACTGCCAACCTTTGTCAGCACACTCACTGAGTGATGATGACACGTTTATTAGGAGTATCACAGTAATAATGTCCTGATGTTGTCAAAGACACCATTTCATGTGAGTTAATCTATGTTGAGGTCCCACAGTAGAAGGGTGGTCAGATGCCAGCGAAACTATTTGTCTTGATTTTTAATCGTTGAGTGTCTCATCATGAAATGCATGATTTGACTCCTGCTTTTTGCTTTCTGTTAAATGCTTCTTGTCTCTTTGCATGTTGTCTTTTTTTCCATCCTTGGCTTATTTCTTTTATCACTAACCTTGTTGGTTACTATTGCCATGACAACCAATCAGCCTGTCAATCAAAGTTCTTTTCTGCATTGAGTGGATTGTACTCTCCCTTGATGTCTCTCTTCGAGCGAGGCTGGGTTGGTATGTAGCACAGTGCTTTTGCGTGTATTGTTGTTGAAAGTGAAGGATTGGGATTGAAAATTTGGATCAGTCTATTAAATCCCGCATCGCGCTACTGCAAGATGTCTCAAAATCCCATCTTGTCAGTACACACTCGATTTTGAGTGTATCCATTTCAGTGCTGATGCTTGCTAATGGTCCATCTCTGCAGCACGCAATCACTGCCAAATTCAGACTGTGCTACTCCGAAATGAATGAAAAACAGCTGAGTCACAGTGACGGCAAACACCCACTCACTGAGTCGCTGCATCTAAAATCAGGGGACCTGCACACAAAGTCATAGTTTGGATTTTGTTGGTGTGTTTAAATTATGTAAATTTAAGATATTACACTTGCTATAATTCAAACATGCTCAGAGTTGCACAAGTATCGCAAATAACACTCCAACACATTGATTAGGTAATGCGCCAAGGATGCAGTGGAACCTCTTAACTTGAACACCTCAATTCCACTAGGCTGTATAAATTACAAAACAATTTGTAGGAAATAATAGAAACTGAAGTAATGTGTTTAGTCTAATTGTCAGAGTCCAAAAAACATTCACTGTACAGGTAATGTTTTATGTTACCATATATAACTGACGCAAATAAAATGTTGTTCAGTAAGACCAGACTTTAAAAGTAGTAGTGTAACATTTGAAAACGTGATGGAGGATTAATGTACAAATGTCATGCTTGAACATTCGTAACTGTCACTGCCACTTTATATTAAAACTTAAAAATGACTTGCTCACCATTAACTTGGATGGGGTATGTTGAACAAGAGGTAAGACAATACAGTACTGTTTCAACCTTCTTCTCATCACCAAAAGCAGCTACATTTGTAGAAACAAAGGACCTTTTTTAAAAGTTGTTGTGGACTCTTATTTTAATTATTGTTGTTGTCGACTTAGCCCGTATTGTAAAGAGCCAGGACAGCCCCTTAGTACCGCTTCAATGTCACAAGGAGCTCAATTTCCATTTGCCTGTTGGGCACATGTTTCCTTATCTCACTTCTGGCGATCACAAAAAATAGGCTCCAAATTTAGAGTTAATCCTCTTGGCTGTTCAATGAGGTGAAGTCTCACAAGATTGCATTAAGCTTCATGAAATATAACACGACAATGTCCAGGTTTTGCGGCAACTCCAGACCCCCCTACCAAAATGGTTGAACTCCAAATTGTACAACTTTATGAGCATTCAGCTTGGGAGGTTCCATTGTAAGATCCTGAGTGCACATTTTACCTTTTAGCATAATGAACTGGGATCAACAAAACTAGGCCTAGTTGTTGGATTGTAATGCATATAAGGGAATGAGTGATGTGAGGAAGGAGGACCAACCTAGAGCTGGTCGTCTTACAACCTGTGCCATTTTTGTCTCTTTCTCTTTTTCTCTCTTATCAGGCCTAAGCCATCAAGATTATTCCTCCATCCCTCTCTCCCTCCCTCAACCAGTAGCTAAAGGATATGTGTTGTCGCTCCTCTCCAGTGTGCCCCCCTCCCCAGCAGAGAAAGCCCCTCTTCCCCTTCCTCAGCTGTCACATCAGTCCGCTGTCCGATCGAGAGCTGCCGGGACGTTTGGTCTTCTCATCTTCGTCCCTCCTGGTTTTCCATTTCGCTCTTTTGGCATTACCTTTTCCTTCTACTAACCCCATGTTGGCAACTTTTCCTCATTGAGCACAACCGTTGTGTGTGCGCGTGCATAACCTCAGCCTCCTTCCCTTTCTTTTCTTTCCCTCAATTTGCTTGTATGTATGTTACACATATCAAACAGTATAATAAGACAGATTTAAATTTCAGATCCAAGTACCTGATTCCGGTTCACTGCAGATAGGCAATGTTTTTGCCATGTTGATTTCAGGCGATACAAATCCAATATCGTTGTGTGTACAAACCCAATGAAGTTGTGACGTTGTGCTAAACAATGTTCATAACTTGTTATGGCGGTCAGATTTATCTAGAGGAAGACGTTGTGCTAAACATTTAAAAACTGAATGCAGTGATTTGCAAATCATGTTCAACCTATATTTAATTGAATACACTACGAAGACAATATATTTAATGTTCAAATTGATAAACTTTATTGTGTTTAGCAAATAGTCATTCACTTAGAATGTTATGGCTGCAACAAGTTCCAAAACAACAACATTCAATAAACTTTGGAGAAATGAGAACACTAACTGTTGAAGCTTTGTAGGTGGAGTTCTTTCTCAACAGTCCGCGGTCTCCGTTGTCGTTTTTTTACGCTTAATAATGCGCCACACATTTTCAATTGAAGATGGGTCTGGACTGCAGGCAGGCCAATCTAGTACCCACACTCTGTTACTATGAAGCCACTCTGTTGTAAATATGTGCACAATGTGGTTTTGAGATTATCTTGCTAAAATAAGCAGAGCCATCCGTGAAAAAGACACTGCTTGGATGGCAGCACACGTTCCTCCAAAACATGTATGTACCTCTCAGAATGAATGGTGCCTTCACAGATGTGTAAGTTACCCATGCCATTTGCACTAACACAGCCTCATACCATCACAGAGGCTGGCTTTTGAACGTTGCGTCCACAATAGTCCGGATATTTTTTTTTTCCTCTTTGGCCCGGAGTCCACAACATCCACAATTAACAAAAACAATTTGAGATGTGGACTCATCAGACCAACAAACACTTACACTTTGCAGCAGTCCATCATAGATGAGCTCTAGCCCAGACAAGCCAGTGACGTTTCTGGGTGTTGTTGACAAATGGCTTATGCTTTACATAGTAGATTTTTAAGTTGCACTTATGGATGTAGCACCAAACTATATTTACTGACATCATTCTGAAGTGTTCCTGAGCCCAAGGGGATGAGATTCTTTATACATTGATTTCAGTTTTTAATGCCGTGCCGCCTGAGGGATCGAAGGTCATGGGCATTGAATGTTGGTTTTCAGCCTTTTCCCAGTTAGGCTGTTCACCTGTGGGATGTTCTAAACAGGTGTTTGATGAGCATTCATCAACTTTCACCACCTTTTGCCACCTTTCCTGGCTTTTTTGGAACGTGTTGCAGGCATAAAATTTAAAGTTAATGATTTTTTTTTTGCTGAAAACAAAGTTTATCAGTTTGAACATTAATTATATTGACTTTGTAGTGCATTCAATTAAGTATAGGTTGAACATGATTTGCAAATCGTTGTGTTCCTTTTTTTATTTACGTTCAACACGTCACAACTTCATTAGAACTGGGTTTGTACATGGAAAGGAAACAAGAAACAACCCAAATCCCATGTTAACAAATCCACAGGCACCGCTGACAAAATGTAAACAAACAGTAAGATACTACAAGCAAATGTAACTGTTCATTGTTGGGGCTGACTCTTCCCCCATTGATTTAAAGGAGGGTAACCTCCATGTTACTGGCCGCCGTCAGCAATTTTGCTTATTTAATGATTGACATGCCTCTCATGCACCAATACATTTACCCATCTGTTTTGCCGACTTCAAGCTTGCATTGATGTGACAGGGGGTGTATCCCATCTGTGAGTTTACGCGGCACTCGCATTGCCACAACTCGGTTCATCTCAGATATGGATCTAATTTTCACATTCTATTTACGCTGCAATGGCGCATTTATTGATTGTTCCACTTTAGATCAAAACAAATCGAAATTGACACTTGAAACCTTCGATGTGAATACCGCTCTATTTGACTGACTGAATTCCTCTCCTTCAATTCTAAAATAACCTTTTTCCGCATCACACGTCACCCACTTTTATTTAAAGTTGTCAAAAGTGCTCTGCTTAGCAACATTCTTTTTTTTTTTTATATTGCAGGTATTTTTGTGTTTAATGTTGTGACCTAATCTCAAAATGCCTACGTTTATGGTACTATGTCATTTCACGTTTGTATCAATAATCCGTATCTGAATCGACCAGATGAAAAAGGGAGCCTTTATTGTTGTTGCGATTTTAAAACTTAAGAGCTTTATGTCATTTTCTACACTTATTTTACATTTTTATGCACATTTTTTTGGGCTGGATAGTAAGACGGTAGTATTTAAATAAATCACAGAATTGTCTGTATCCGATTCTGACAACACATTTGTCAGATCACATCAAGCTGTTGCCATAGTAATTCATTCTACGGTTTGCTTTTTCTGTCATCAGTGTCCTTGCTCTTTGCACTGTTTTTTTGTGTGATCCACAGAAGGTCACATTTGCAAAAGAGAAAACAAGCGGCATGCTTTTCTACTTTGTGTCAGCAGAGACCAATTAGATGAGAGATGAGAATCAGATGTCGTGGTCTCAAGCAAGCGTTATTGCCTTTTCTTATTGTTCTTATTCAAGTGGAAGCTGTGATTCGCAGTCGTGTTTGACAAGTGCATTTGTGTGTACAGTCACAGTGGTCGGTCACATAGTTTAACCTCGCCACTTGGGTGAAAAGCGTTTTAGTTCTTTCATCAGCTCAACACCCACAACAGTTAATTCACCTTTCACAAAGTGAATGTGCAATGACCTTGAACACCTTGAAAGTGTCATTGTTGGCTGTGCTTGTGATGCATTCATTTGCTGGCTTCAGGCTTCTACTTGCCTTGATTCTTCATTCCTTTTCAACGTGCATCTATACCTCTGCTTTTACTCTCAGCTATAGAATTGACCTTGTGAGTCACATAACTATAATATCAATAATGTTGTGTTAGTGGAATGCTTATTTATTGAACTGTCTACTCTTGACATATAACTATAGTGTGACTTCATTTTCCCAATGTAGTGTTCACATTACATTAGGTCTAGTAGCACTAGTAGTAGAACTGCGTCATATTTACTAATCTGCATTGTGAATATGGTTGCAGCAACACTTGTTGGCATCTCAAATAAAGTTTTTTTTTCATCTGTGAACTTGCCTTTTTTGTATAAAACTAATTTTGGACCACCAAACCTTTCGGGAAAAAAAAACTCATCTATTTCATTTTAGTCCTCATAGAACACTAAAAAAAGTCATTGGTTCAGTTATTGAAATATTTCACAACCAAAATACATTTTTGGAATGATTCCTTTTGTCTGTTCACTAGTGAGGTCACTTGTTGCAAGCAAAGTTCATAGGGCACAATCGTTACTGCACCGTAGCTGGATGGGAAAAAAAGTTGGCTTTTTGATACCATTGTACTGAGGGAAAAAACCAAATACAGAGAATAAAGTCAGAATTTAACAAAATTTTCACTAATCTTGAGTGAAAAAACACGAGAGAGAGGGGTGGGGGTAGATAAAATGGGCCATGTTCTCCCAGAGCCGTTGTGTGCATTCTCCCGTCAACTTACAGTCTGCGATATTCAAACTGCTTGTGAAATTTGAATGCTAGCCAAGGCTACTACTTAGGTACTGTGGCTTAATCATTCATGTTGGAAAGTCGCCAAACGTGAGATGTTACCAGTTAGATGTTGTGTTTTTTGGAATGGACAGTCAATTAAAAGTATGAGAGCTGAAATAAATTTATATGACGGACTGGTGAGAACGACGACTTTGGCGGTGGTTTTCCTAGGCCCAGTGATGTTGAACCTCAGTTCCTTGTGTTTACCTTGTTAACCGAAGTCAAATAATCCAGCCACAAAGAGTGTCAGCACGACGGGGCTTTGTGCTGCAGCTGCGACATGCAGACTGAATGCATGTGCGTGTGTGTGTGGCGTGAATGGAAAAATGATTGACACATTATTTGGTTACGCCTTCTCTCTCTTCAGTCTCTGACCTTTTTGTCACGGCTTGACAAAATTATATTCGAAGCAGAAAATAGGGCCAGACAGGGATGATTATTTTTTTTCAAAATATTTGCCATTGCTCAATTATTCGGTTGTATCAACAATTATAACGTATATGAGGAAAACCTTACATTTTAATGCTATGACTTCTACCTTGAAGAGCTTTTCATCTAAACACGCAGCAGAAATTGTTGAAGCGCCCCAGGAGGGTGAAACATTTCAAGAATTTTGGATGAAATTGAAATTCATAAATATTATTTTAGCCACCTCAAGAAAGCTAGCATCTGTATGCCGGGACTGAACTTTTTTTATTTTTATTTTTATTTTTATTTTTATTTTATTTATTTATTTATTTATTTATCGATTCAATCAAAGAGGCACTGTGAGTCAGCTACTTAAAGCATTTTAGCTGTCATGTATATTACTTTTTTATTTGTATTAATAGTTATATTTAAACCATTTTTTAGTTGTATTTATAGTTATATTTAAACCATTTTTTATTTGTATTTATAGTTATTTAAACCATTTTGACAACATTCATAGAGTTCTCATTCATAATTAGTGCAGTCATAATAAACCAATTGGCTAATAATAGTGCTATATGCACATGTGAAGTTGTATTTTACAATTTTGATGTTACTTTATTTACAATAAATACGTTTTCCCATCACCTGATTAAGTGAATAAAAATGGGTTTTTACATTTGTACATTTTAACTAACCCATTTTAGGGGAAAAACATGCTAAATGAATGCAACAAATACGGTCATGTCAATCAGGGTGCCCCTGTCCGGTCCTCAAGAGCCCCTATCAAGCCTGTTTTAGATGTCTCCCTCCCTAACACGCCTGATGTAAATGCTCTGCGGATAAAAGATTCTAGAACGTAAACAGGCCAGATGTGGCTCCTGGCCTACACTTTTCCCACCCTTGTTACGGACTAAAGTACGATATTCTGTTTATTTGAGAATTTACTTTCCTGTAGTAAAATAACTATTTGCCACAGTTTTACACCTTTTCCGTTTGTGGTGTACTTTTTTTCTCTCTCTTCACAGTGACTCGAATACTCCTTTTGGACTATGATGATTATTCGTATATTTGTCTATTGTGTCTGTGTTAAATATAAAATTATTATTTGCAAGTAAAACCGAGCCAAATACTGAGGTGTCTTTGGTTTTTCAATTTTGAATGGGAAGATGAGTTTTGGTGGTCACCTCCAATGCTCTCAATATACATACATCTCCCCCTGTTGGTTATGAATCTTATTACAACCAACATTTTTCTCGTTTCAAAACAAACCAGGACCAGTAGTAACATGGACAAATAAATTGATATCTCACTGGAATGATGATGAGTTTGGATCTACTTGCACTTGTTAAATGTTTGCCAATAATTAGCTCATGTTTACGTAGCCAGAAATTAATGATGAAATGATTCTCTGTTGACTTGTTGAGTGCGATGTGAAGTTGTGTTCATCGCGATCAAGTGGCTTGATGAGTGTGTGTGCGCAGGACGGCAGCGGAACACTCCAGCGCAGCGGCTCTCTGGGCAAACTCCGAGACGTCCTGCGTCGTAGCAGCGAGCTGTTGGTCAAAAAATTGCAGGGCAATGGACCGCCTGAACCTCGCAGCACTAAGTAAGTACCGCAAAAACCAAGGAGAGAAAGGATTAGATTAGCCTTTGAAGTCCGCTCATTTGCATGACGTAACATCTTCCGCTCTGCTTGCCAGCATGAAGCGAGCCGCTTCATTGAACTACCTGAACAAGACGGGTGATGAGTTATTCCAGGTGAGGAACCAGTTACATTCCGTTTTATAACTTTGAAGGATTTTTAATTTTTTTTATGTAGTTATTTTTTGCTGGTAGTTGTGTTGGACGGGCGTGCCAGAGATTTGTTTGCAGTAAAATGTTTCCATCATGTACTGAACAAAATTTACATCTCAGTCTCAGACTCGAAGCAATAATTTGAGGGTGAGCCGAGGCCTGAGCTCCAGCACCATAAATCTGTACTCTGGAAACTGAGCTGGAATTTGAAGTGAACCTTCTCGACCTGCCAACGTCAGACCCAAAGATGTTTCCTCATAAATAACACTTGCATCCAAAGACCCTTTCACTAGTCTGAATTCACATGGATTCTTGTGAAACTGTGCCTGCCTTCCTTTGTTGTTGTGCAAACGTTGAGTGGTGTTAAGAGCATGACACCAAGATCCTTTTTTTCACATATCCTGTGCCATTCTTTTTTTTTTTTTTTAAACAGTGCTGATTGTCCTTTTCCTTCTCCATGAAAAGTAATCATAAATTTTGTTTTAGTGCTCTCAATGTAGAAATGAGCTGTGTAGAGGTTTTGAAATGACATCTTGTAGATTTGCTGATTGTTGAAACTTCACTTGTCTCTGTTTGCCGGTGGAGATGTGGCATTGGGCTAAAGCTTTGGGATACAGGGTGAATGAATACCTTACTGTCATCACGTGACTCGCAGACCACAGAATGGAATGACATTTTGAAGTCAAATAGGCTGCTACTTTCATTGTCTTTTATTTTTGAGAGCTGTGTGTGTTCACAACATGAACAAGGCAACTCGTATAGATCCTCGGTCATGACAAACATCCATGTGAACACCCACTTTTTTAAAAAAAAATTAAACAGTAAAAGGTCTGTAAAGTTGGAAATTTGGTAACTTGTGCCCCTTCCTTGAATGATATCAGGTGCCATGCTGTTTGAGGTTATGTGAAGGTGAACAACTCCAACTTGAAATTGTTTACACTGATGAGGATGTAATTCATGTTTAGATTGCTACAATGTGACTGTCATAGATTTGCACAATGCTCAAATGCTTGTCTTCTGTCTTTTAAATGAAGTGATTCAAAAGAACTGGAATGTTGGAAAATTGTTTTTTTTTTCTCATTAGGGGACACATGAATAGGACAGTGATACCTTCAGTCAATTGCTTCCAACTAGTGAAGATGTTCAAATCGTGACTTGATTCGAAATTACAATTTCTGTTTTGTCATGAACGTTTTGTTCAGTTGATTAAAAAGAAAAGTCTACATATGTTGTAAACAAATGGAACCGACACAAGAATTAATAAAATAATACCAACAAAAATGTGTCGTCCTTGAATATGTGACCCATAACCCCTTATCAATTAAAAATCGGTTGGCTGAGACTGGTTGCACAAATATACGCACACAATTTGCGCCGAACCAGAAGCACTTGAAATCGTTCCGTGAGTTTGAATGATTGGTTGATTCTGAACACATACACAATCCTCGTTAAAAGTGGTTGTTCACACGTGTAACCACTTTAGCTCAGTTGTTCATTTTTAGATCTCCTTTGTCCAGCGTATTGGTCACAGTGTTGGGAAATGTAGTTAAATAATTTAGGTTGATCTATTTTTAATAGACATTTTTTTAACGTGACATCTGTTTAGGCGTGTGTAAACTTTTCATATCCAGTATGTATTGCAAATGCTCTGTGCATCACAGGCGCAAAATCGATATCCTAAAATGACGTGGCAGTACAGTAAGAGACTGCCTCACAGTCCAGAGATTCTGGTTTTGAATCTCGGACATTTGAGGTACTCCGGCTACATTGCCATCTTCCAAAGAACATGCATCCAAGATTGACGTACCAGCAGGTGGCAATGTTGTTTCGTTTTTTTAAGCACCGGTACCGGAAGATGTAACTCACACACACACACACACACACACACACGTAAGCGCATAAATTATTGGTGCGCTCATTTCAAAATACAATTCATATTTTGGTAACGTGCTTGGGAAGTCATCAGCCGAAGTGAACTCATGTCATGTAACATGTCGTCATCGTATTACAGTAAAATGTAAGTGTACAACATTTTACAACATGGTCTAAGTTTTGTTTTGTCGTCGAAAAAAAATCACATTTGGGGTAAACTTTAATTGATTAACTTTGGTCAATGTAATTTTTAGACTAATTTGGTCAAAAATAAGTTCAGTCTAAAGTTTATTTTGAAAATCCAAACAGGAAATGGAGTGTATCACTAGTCGTGCTTTCACTAGTACAAACACATTCACAAGGCGAATGAGAGGAAGCCAACTTGGAAACACAGCGGAGGGATCGAAACAAAGTCGGTGAAGACTTTCAGTTACTCGGAGCTGGGCGTCACTGAACTGGTGGACCGCCGAGGAGGGAACTGCACGCGCCGGCTTGTGATGAAACACCGCTGTCCGAGTTTACAGCTCTGAACTCTAAAAATCTAAAGTTTTTACATTTTGCTTGACAAACTTTCGGCGGGTCTTCTGTCGAGTGCGCTCCAAGTGTGCCCTGTCTGTCCGGCCTGGGAAGCGAGCGACCCGTCCCCACATGCCTTCTTCCCGCTAGTCAAACTCAACGACCAGGTGAGCTTCAAGTCCGGATCGCACGCGGACCTCATCAGGTAACGGTGGTCATTTGACCCACGGCGGTCCCTTTGACGCCCCCCAGTCACGCTTCACGACTCTGGAGACAAGCACCGAGGAGCCGCCGAGCTCCAAAATCAGGACATGGATCTAACAACAGAGACCGAAAATCGACGCGGCGAGGGTGGGGGGAGACTCCGAATAGACCCCCTGTACGTTGTCGCTATCATCTGCTTCCAAGGTTGGTACATGAACTTCATGCTACTGTAGAATTCGAACGCTAAACTAACTAACATGCATGCACGAACATTTTTTTTTAAAGAAAGAAGTTCAAATATCCCTTTCCAATCTTTAAGTGACAATTTTAAAAAGAAATGATTTTTTTCTACAAAAAGTGGATATCTATTTTATTTAATGGAAGAGTGTTTCATATTCTGCCTCTCGACATATGCATATTCATTCATTCATTCATTTTTCCAACTGCTTTATCCTCATTAAGGTCAAGGGGGGGTGCTGGAGCCTATCCCAGCTGTCTTCGGGCAGTAGGCGGGGGACACCCTGAACCGGTTGCCAGCCAATCACAGGGCATATGCATATATATTATACATATATGCATATATTATTCGTAGTAATTACGTGAAAATTAACCGATGTGTGAAGTTGAATTGCACTGATGTGCTACAGCAAAATTGGTTGGCAATCCTCGTGATTCGCTACTTGCAGATTGAAATTTCATGCATTGTTTTTGGAACCTATTTTCTGTTATTCCCTGAAAAACTCACTCACCTACTTGGTCTTTTTTGGGGCGAAGGTAATTGTCCTTTCTCATAACTATTGCTGTGGTGCCACTTATTGGCATCTTGATGCCAAGGAACTATGTAGAAGTGAGTTGGAGAGTTCCATGGAGTGTTTTTTGTCTAAGGGCAAATAGCCAATAGATGCCACAGGATTATAAAACCCTAAGGGGGTGTCAATTACTTACAGACTTTGGCTATTTGCAGCAGGCCACTGTACCAATTTACGTTGAAACGCCGTACTCCGAAGTTGATGATACATATTTCTAAACATTTTATGTTTTAGCAAATGTAAAAAAAATGTATATCAAAGAATGGGGCTTGCTTATTCCACTGCTTTTCTTCCTCTTCAATGCGTGGAATCAATACCTCGTTCCAATGTGAAGTGAATTCTACTATAATTTAGTGGGTGAATGAGGTTTGTTCCGCCCATTCTGGGAGCGAATCCAACTTGTGCCTTCAAAATGGGAGAGGATTTCACTTGGATGCCTTAATGTTGTTTGTATTTGTCCATAGTCGAACACGCTATCTCAGGTAGAAGAAAGTGGAAAAGACTCATCACACAGTCGAACTTAACGTTTGTCCGGTTGCGATTGGAAGCAAGTACGTAAATGTTAATGCAGGATAAGCGCAGGCATCTATGCATCACCACCGGAGCAGCCTTTTAGTTACTTCAATGTATTCCTGGTGCTTTTCTTTCACTGTTCTCACAACACGCTGGAGACACCATTTCTCATGATGATATTCCTTTTATGCTTGATGGAAGTGTGTCTCAGACTGCCATTCATAATGCAGGTCTGGCCTTGATCACGGCTTTCTGGCTTGTGATAAAAGAAACGACTAAGCACAGTGTCGCTGTATATAGTCTTGTCCATGAAATGCTAAAAATCTCAGTTGTATCAAAATGGTCCCTTTTAACAGAACCATGCATGAGCGTCAAACGTGTCGTACCACACTAATGCATTTGCATTAGGCGTCGTCAAAATGGCTGTGTGTCCTCTTAAGTTAAAGTATGCCTCTCGCCCCCCGCCATCCTCCTCAGGGTGCCCACTTTGGGATGAATGTGAGCTCTGTGTGCGGGGCAACAGGGGAGCCGGCGGCTGTTTACAAAATGCACGAATAGAGCCAAGCCAGGTACTGTTGTGAGAGCAAGGGGGGCTTTTGCCCATTTTAGGAATGCCTTATTTTATTGTATTTTATTTTATTTTTAATGTGTAGGAGCAAAAATGGCATCATCATTGTCCACAGAAGACAGTCTTTCTAGTCAGGCATGTGGTCGACACACAGGAGGGCATAAATTGGTACCCGGTTTGAATATTTCTGTTTAAGTATATCATTTTTAATTTGCTTTTGCTTTATGTGTGTCAGTTTCGGGGATAGGCTCCAGCACGCCCACAACCGTAGTGAGGAGCAGATAATGGATGGATGGATAAAATATATTGCAAAATTATTTTTTCTCCATTACTGTTGATTTAAAAAATGATTTTACATTTGATATTGCTTAATGAGCAAACAAATCAAATAAACATCAATTAAACGAGAGGGAGAGATATACTTGCAATTTAGAGATGCTTCTTGGGTACTGATTAATGCAGAAGGCTACTAATTTGATCCACACTTCTGAACCTACTTCAAGTTTACCAAATAAATGTTATTCATACCATGATTGCAAATAATCGTTATTTTTGTCATAGATTAAACACACTAAAAATATTTTCCTTCAGTAGAATGCAATGACTGGTTTGGTACACACCGTGTCAGAAAATTGTGAAAAATGTTGATTGTTGTTTTCCAAAATAAACATAGATGTTTACAAATATATATATATATATATATATATATATATATAT